ATGGCGCTTCAGGCCCTGCACACGACGGCGCGCATGGAATAGCGGGTACCAGCTCCGATACCAATGCAATCAGACTCATTCTCATTCACACTGTTCGTGCATGTAAACAGCAGCGCAGCAAACTGGCGACATGCGCCCACTCAAAACTCAGAGATATGACATCCAGATACGAGTTCACTTCCAACTGGCTATGGTGACTCAGCGCCCAAACAACTCACTGTTCACATACACCGGATCACCCTAGATATCCCACACGCGTTACTCTGAACACTCACCCATACACACACACACTTCACACTACTACAGCTATGGCAGCTATGGCTGCCTCTGCCCTATCGCTAGGCTACGCTCCTTCTCTCTGCCCACTTCGTCCTTCGGGCACACTGCAGACCTCCTTGCACAAGTCGCTGTCCGTATGAATGCCTGAAAATGCCTCCCGAAACGGTTTTCACCTTTTGCACGCAGGAATGAATGAAAGGCTGGGCGCTGCCTCTTGATTTATACTTCGGAAACTCGTTGGTCTGCGCTTTGCCATCGGCCCATGGTGCTCACAGTCCCCCGTGGCACGTGCTGGACCCGACTGGGACTGACTGGACCTTACCGCTGACTGACTGTGGACTCACTGCTATCCTACCGAGGTCGTACTGCGATTGCACTGCAGTTTAGTCCACCACTTGCCTCGCCACTTGCCCACTTGCCCACTTGCCGACCTTCTAGAAGGGCTACAGCTAAGCTTCTGGAACTCGCTAAGACTTCTACTCTATAGATCTACAGATCGAACCCCTGCTACCTACGGACCTGTGATAGAACTACCAACTGTCTACAAATACACAGGTCACAGGTTCAACTCTCTGGTCTACACAGATACTGTACATGGGTAGGGTGAGGTCTAGGGATCGAACCCTGAAATCTGCATCTGCTACTGCAAAAGGTGAAAACCGTTTCACCTCTACGAATGCCTGAAAATGCCTCCCGAAACTGAGGCCGACCGGGTATAAATGACGCTGGTCCAGCCTCAGTCTGTCACGTGAGAGGAAACCTGGCGCCTAAACTGGCGCCCAAACTGAGGCTGGGCCTCAACGGCCAGCGCCCAATGAAACGGCGCTGCCTCACAGGTCTTGGCGCCAAAACATGCGCCAGGGCCTGTCACTTGTCTAGGCCTAACCCGGCCTACAGACCTATGGGCCCTGAACCGGGCCAAAACGACACCTGGCCCTACCTGGGCCTAAGATCCCCTGTGATCGACCCCTGGTCCTACGTGGTTGGGCCTGGTAGGGCACGTGTGGAACTCAGAATGCCACAGCAGAGCAGCACCACCTTCTCAAAATTTGGGACAACCTGTGCAGAGTCGCAGACAGTAGAACTAACGGTGGCCATCAGATTGACGAGGTTTGCTACTGTTCCAGGTACCGAGCTACCTTTTTTATTCACTTTGAAGATGGAGTTGTGGAAGCGATCTTATCCTGACAAGGTGTTTGATAATGTTTTGGCTAATTTCTCGCGGAAGTTTGGGGGGATATGGAAACAATGGCTACCTGTGCTAACGAGGTGGGACAGAGTCTGTCGGTCCTAGGGGCTCTGATGGTTGGCCTCTAGTTGTTTTTGCTTACGATACCTGGATACTGTCGAGATGTCTGGTTGTTTGTTTGGGTTCTGACGTTGGGCTGGGGGTACCCAACCCCCTTTATTGGCTGGATCAGGTTCGTGCTGCTGACGCTGGGTACCCTGGTGAGATCCCGTACGAGAGTAGTTTGCAGTTTCCTTGTTGGGACCAGTGGGAACTGGTGACGTCGGGTACCATGTTGTGATCCTTCGTAGTATAGTTGTCGGTAAGGACTTAGTGAAGAATTGAGTTGGTTTTTGAGTTGGTAACAGTACGCTGTGTGGTTGTTGGTGGGTTTTTGATGTTTGGACCGGTAAGGACTTGGTGAAGAATTGAACATTGACCATGATGGTTTTCCAGACGTAGAAGTTGTCCGTGTTTTATGCAGAAGGAACTGTTTGAGAGTTTGAATGACTGGCCTCGAACTGGTAACGTAGGCGTAGGCTCTCTCTTTTTTAGCCGTTTCTAGTGCTTATAGTCGTTCACTAGATGTTTAGGCTTTAGGCAATTCCTAGAATCTACAGTTAATCTACAGTCAGTTCCTTTTTATAGGATCAGTCAGTTCGGTTCCTTACCGACAGACCCCTGATGAGTGCTGGCATTGGCGGCCAACCGAAACCGGTCGGGTCGCTTTGCCAACCGGATGCTTGCATTCAGATCTGTACTTCATGCTATTTTTAACGTCGCGTTCGGGATTCATGACTTGATCTTCCTTCTTCTTCCTCCTTCCCTATCTTCTTCTTCCCCTCCCTGTTTCGCTATTGGTGTGAGTGTGTTGATTGGCTTGACTTGTTTCTGGCTTGGTCGCTACAATTGGAGTTCTTGTGAAGTTTCGTCGTCATCACGACAGCTTCTGCTCTCGAGGTAACCGTCGTAGAGGTAGTACTACGTACGAGTGGCTTCGCATACAACTCTTCAGTGTAGTAACATGGCTTTGAATGGCGGTCAACCGTCGGGAGTGCGCACGTGTCAAAACTGTGGACAACCCGGACACCTCCCTCGCTTTTGCCCCTTACCTGACCGACGTTTCACCTTTTCTGCTACCCCTACTGCTGCCCCTGTCAATCCCAAGTCTGTGATTGTTACAGTGCCGAGTGCTCCTGTGGTCAACGTACCTATGGCAGGGGGCTCCGGTGGTTATGGTGGCTATGGTTATGGATATAGAGGGGGGCTGAGACCACGAGTGTAGAACCTTGAGGCAACGATTGCAGGTATTAAAGCTCATCAGGATGCTGAGATTGTGAAAGAACGAAGTAAGAACGAGGAGGAGGAATGGATTAAGAAGGAGAATGAAGAAGAGGAACGGAGATTACGAGAGAAGAAAGCACGTGAAGACTTTCAGTCGGAAATGAAGAAGGAGATCAGTAGTAAGGTGGATACGGTTTGTGAATTGCTTGAAAGTAAGAAAGGAAGTAATGAAGACGAGGTTACCAAGATGCGAATAGAGATTGAAGGTCTGCGCAAGGCACTGCGTAATGGCAATGGGGTGTCAACCTCTGAGAACACTTTTGACAAGTACAAACGGGAATTGGAGGAGGAGAGGTTGAGATCTGATCGTCGTCTTGCTGCCATGGAAGAAGAAATCGCAAGGTTGAGAACGGTCAATGAAGAAGCTGTTGCCGCTGCTGATGTGTGGAAGAATGAGGCGCTCCGTCCGGGCAACAAGCGTGGTAGCGTTGTTCTCACTGCTTGTTGCATGCTGCGCCTGCACACGGGCCCCATTTGAGGGGCCCGACGGTTGCTGAGGGCCCCCCAGGCCCCGTACCATACAGCACGCGCCCTGGAGGCCCACGGCGGCCCTTCAGGCCCTAGGTAGCACCCTAGTTAGAATAGGTTTAGTTACTTACCTTTCTGTGAGTGTGCGCTGTCTTACTTTGTCTGTCAGGTGCCGTTTCGGACTTGCAGCCCCAAGGCCGGACCTTGGGATTGGGTACACCGGAGGCAGGCTCGAAACGAGGCCAGGCGCATTTTGGCGCCAAACCAGTAGGTACAGGCGTCGTTTCGGTCCTGCAGGTCCCAAGGCGACGCCTTGGGCTAGGTGCACAGGTACCTGGGCGATTTTAGGCCAGGCGCATTTCTGGGCCTTGCTGCATCAGCAGCGTGGTCTGGACGTCCGGTAGGGACCCAGGCCAGCTGGGCCGTTTTCTGAGGCCAGCATCAGGTAGGCCCAGCCGGCCCAGCACTACAAATAGCTGGGCAGCGGCTGGGCAGGGACAGTTCAAGTCGCTCACTTCTGGAGCGACACGCTGCTGGTTGAAGCAGCGTTATTTCTGCACCAAGCTACGAAGTAGGGAGTAGCGGAGTAGGTAGTGGAGAGAGGCGGAGGCCTTACCTGCAAGCGACGAACTTACCTGGCGCCTTAGCTGGGCTCCACGCGGTACCTGCACRCGACGAAGACCACGGTCAGTACGGTGACARCTACCTGCAGGTGAGATAGCAAGGACTTCATCTTCTTCTTCTTCCTCCTCCATCTCTCTCTCTCTCCTTYCTCCTTCTTCCTTCTCTTTCTTACCTTCTTCTTCAGCTACGAGAGTACGAGAGGATATCAGTAGGGAATACAGGCAGAGGTTAAGTTGGGCACATTGCCCAGGATCTGATTCGACATTTTGGGACAGACATTGATTGGACACTCGGCAAGGGACTATTTTTGGGACTTCGCCATTGCAATCTTGGTCTACTCTCTCACCTCCTGTTCCTTCGTCTCGTCTTTTCCCCCCATCTCTCATCCGTGGTATCTCCCCATGTATGTGTGTGAAGGAGGGACCTTTCTTCTGTGTTTGCGGTCCCTCCTCCCTTCTCACATGTGCGATGTATGATGGATGTCGGGTCAGTCCAGATCAGATCAGATCTTCTCTTTAAAGATTTCCGCTGCGCCGTTTTGTGCCACCTTGTATGTATCGGAATGTACATTGCTTGTTGATACTATGCTGACCTTGACTTGACCATTTCAGTCCTTTTCATCACATTGCGGATCCTTGGCTCCCTGCACATTGTCCCATTGGGCATGCGTCAGTTTGGTATCGGAGCCCCGCTTGTGAATCAGGACAACCTGATCTGACACAAGCGCGGGGACAATCGACGAACGATTGATTGATTGATTGATTAGTCATCGATTAATTGATTGGTTGATTGATTGATTGATTGATTGATTGATTGATTGATTGATTGATTGATCACTGACTGACTGACTGACTGATTGATGATTGATTGATTGATTGATTGATTGATTAGGACACTAATTAGTCCCCAAGATCGTGGATTTTGACCTAACTGCTGAAATGAAAAAAAAATTCTTTTTTTGGATTTCATTTTTCCGCTATTTTATTCGTGGGCAATCACAATAGCGTAGCATCTGAACGTTTCGTTTTTTGTTCTTTCATATGAAACTCGAAATTCCGATGCTGGAGGTCCGAAAATATTACGAATTTTTTTTTTCTTCGATTTATCTTTTCCTTCGCAAATTCCCGTTAATTCGAGGATTCTGAATTTTTTTGTAATTCGTTATTTCAAACTTATTTCTGAGAATTTTTTTGTGTTCTTTTATCCACGCATTTCGGGAGTAACGGAAATTTTGAAATTTGACCGTTATTCCCAGATTTGGAAATTATTTTTTACGGGAAAATTGCTCTGCAGTCATTTGTTTGCAAACCTGCGCATACTCTCACTTGAGAAATTCCGAATTTTTTTTTGTTTCGGAATTCTCCGAACTTGGGGAATTTTTTTTTTTTTCGCAGTTCAGTTATTTTGATCATCTCCATTCGTTATTATTCCCTTTTTGCAGTCTGAAATTCGAAATTTTTTCGAATTACCTGTTGTGGGGAAACATAGGAGACGTACCGAACTTGCAATCAAGAAATTTTGTTGATTAATAATATTCAATATATTTTTATTTATTTTCTCGAAATTTTTGCAAGTTCCAGGTTTTCACTTTTGATTAGTGGCTCCCTATCTGGGCGATTCACTTGATTTCCCCACTCCCCACCTCTCCCTCCCAACTCCTCTTCTTCTTGCTCAACTGCCCATCAGTTCTGGCTACAGCCTTGGTAAGTTTGAGGGCCACGTCAGCTACCCGCGGCACATGACCCTGATCACTCGTTCACAGACAGCAGGGATGGATCAGAAAGCCAACGAGACTGACGAGGCCTATGAGGCACGTTTGGCGGCCATCATGGTCGAAAGCAAGCAACGGGCAGAAGCAGCAGCAGCAGCACGGAAGAAGGAGGCAGAGGCAGAGAGGCTGCGTCAGATCGCCCAAGATCAATGGCAGAAGCACGCAGCAGCAGTAGCAAAGGCCGCTGATGAAGAACGAGTACGGCGGCAGGAGATTCTCTTCAAGGAGGAAAGTTCATTACACGCACATGCCAGGGATTGGCAGAAGGAGGGCGAGAACGGAGACTCCGTTGACTATGGGACAAGGATTGCTCTCTTGCTCAACCGTGTCACAGACCTCCTCGCTACGTGCATTGCACAGCAGGAGGACATTCACTCTCTCGACCACGTCAACCAGGCGATGACCAACTGCATACAACAGCTGGAGTAGCGACCGGTCGCCACTTCCAGCATCGGCCCCTCCAACCTCGCCGACCGCGTCAACGTCTTGGAGATAGACATGGGAACGCTCAAGACCGAGACACAGCGACTGGACCAGCAGGTGGGGGCCGCAACCACACCGAGCTCAGCGCCTCGTGAGAGCATCCCCAAATTTGAGGGGCTCCCGATTTTCTGTGATGCATCGAAGATGAAGCCTACACCTTGGTGGCGCCAGTTCGAGTTAAAGCTGGACATCCACCACGTTGTCCACACAAACCGGCACGCATACTTGTACTCTCGGTCAGGAGGTGCGTGCCAAGCATGGTTGGACAACATGTTGTCCGCACATGCCTGTATAGTCTCCAAGTTACACAACTTCATCACCTGGGCCGATCTTACTGCCGCATGGAAGAAGCGTTTCCAAGTGGAACCGCCCGAGCATCAGGCGATGGACAAGCTGCTGACATTCTCACAGAACAACATGCCAAGTGGAGACTGGATATCTGAGTTCCAACGTCTGGCAAGCACGCCCAAGCTGCCGCTGAACTTCGACGACATCAAGCTCTACTCCATCAAGAGGTCGTGTCCAGCGTTGCAAAATGCGTTAATTGAGGTCGCTGAGAACCTCAACACAAGTGAGGAACTCTTCAACAAGGCGGTGCAGATCATTGTGACGAACTTGGAAGCCAAGAACATTGGCCGTTCGTCGGTAGCCGGCCAGGGCGCGTATCAGCATCGGCCAAAAGTGGCCGTGGTCGCGGCAGCAACGCCAAGTGACCCTTCAACTTCAAACGAGGCTGCCTCTTCTGACGAGGGAGACAGATTAGCAGCTGCCCAGAATGGTGGCTGCCCCGCCAAAGGACGAGGACGCGGCAAAACGAAGACAAACACCACTTCTTCTGGGCCCGGACAAGCAGCTCCAGCTCAAGAACCTTGGACACAATACGGGCTGACGGAGCGCGGGTATCGCGTCCGCAACAAGTATCGTTATTGTTTGTGGTGCAACTGCGCGACACATGAGACTGTGAACTGTCCCATGAAAGCCAAGGGCCTTGCTCAGTCGGGAAAGTGAGCACCGCCGATGCGACGACACTCTCGACGCCTTTGGAACCGGTTGCCGTACGGGTGACCTCCCCTGGTTCCGGGGCACATGCGGAAGTCGTAAGTCCACCCATTCTTCATTCTTTCGAGGACTATGCTGCCCGGCTCGTACATTCGCTGAATTCACAAGCCCAAGGACAGGATGTATGTGCGGTTTCTTCTCCGATCAGAAGCAGCAGCATTGAGTCGTCTTCAAGTGGACCTTTACGGGATTCGGCGCGCGCGTTCGACATAGAGGACTTGGACCCGTTAACGCCCGAGGCTTTTGCATGGCTCCCTCTCCCTTCCACGGGTGGCTTACCGGAGCTGCAATGCGCAGCTCTTAGTGCTCATCTACATACATACGTAGCCTTCTATGCACCACCAACTTCGCCAACGGAGGATGGAGTCGCGGTGGGGGACATTCTTGCGTACGTTAGCAAGGTGGCCCGCGAGTTTCGCACGCAGCGGTACGATGACAACAACGCACCGCTCCTTTATGTCTGCATCCAAGTTGGGCAAGCGTCCTGCAACGCTTTGTTGGATAGCGGCGCGACTCGCAATTTCATTAGCCAGTCCTTTATGCAAAGGGCCGACCTTGGACCACAAGTTCGAAGGAAGGCACACCCTACGGCGATCAAGTTGGAGGACGGTAGGATGCAACAACTCCTTGATCGCCACATCGAGGCCGTACCGGTCTATTTCGCACCTCATGCATGCGAACCGGTGACGTTTGACGTCTTGGACACGAACTTCGACATCATTTTGGGCATGCCTTGGCTTGCAAGTGCGGATCACACAGTCAACTTCCATCGGCGAACACTTACCCTCTGCGACACGTTTGGCGCCGAAGTACCATGTACCATCCCTCTTCCGCACCCTTCGATCCGGTGCCAAGTTGTAACAGCCAAATCTTTTCGGGCCACTTGCGCTTACGAACGAACCGACGAGATAGGCCTATGTTTTCTTCGCACCGTCGCGGCAACCGTATCTCAACCCACGGACTTGTCTTCGGACCCTCGTGTGGTACGGTTGCTTGACGAATTCGCCGGCATCTTCGAGTCACCTACCAGCGTGGTGCTAGATCGGCCGATCTCCCATGACGTCATTCTTGAGGCCGGTGCCGTGCCGCCGAAAGGTTGCATCTATCGGATGAGCGAGGAGGAGCTTGAGGTACTCCGCGCACAGCTCGACGATTTGTTGGACAAAGGCTGGATCCGGCCTAGTGGCTCACCCTATGGTGCGCCAGTTCTCTTCGTGCGGAAGAAGAACAAGGATCTTCGCCTATGCATCGATTACCGCAAGCTCAATGCACAAACCGTCAAGAACGCGGGACCTCTTCCTAGTATTGACGACCTTCTGGAGCGTTTGGGCAGCGCGAAATTCTTTTCCAAGTTGGATTGAAAGTCGGGGTATCATCAGATTTCGATACGCCCACAAGGTCGCTACCAAACCACGTTTAGGACGCGGTACTGGCATCCCTACACTATAGAAATTGCTAATCCTGCAGTATGTAACAAATCGCCGATCTGGGCCGTCGTCGGTCCTACTGGCCCACGACCCAGATCTGCGGAACGATGTAACAAATCTAGGGTCTCGGCCGTAAGTCCGGTAGGACCCAACGGCCTGGATCTCCACGCGGTCTTAAGATCTTAAGACCGCGCCGAGATCCAGGGCATTGGGTGCTACCGGACCGAAGTCCCACATATTAGCGCCGTAGAGTGCCGCGCATTTTTATTGTTTCAATGGGCCGTTCCAGTCTATGACAGTGATGTGGGTGCCCCAGGTTGTCACGAAGCATCCGTTCGAAGCGCCTAGGCCAACTTTCGCCGATGTCGCGTGCAGTTTTACTTGCCCCTCTAGCGCGTACGCCATGTCGTGAAGCACCCTGCGCCGTGTCGTGGAGCCCTGAGCTCGGCACTCTCTCTCTCTCTCTCTCTCAGACACGTTTCTCAGGGTTATTGCTAACTCTGGGCGATGTGGTGAGTCCTTACCCATTAGTCAAATGCATCGTGGGCAGACTGTCGGGGTTCAACCTCCTGATGAGTCGGTGAAAGTCCGACGAAACAGTTTGTCCGGTACAATCATGCTTTTTTTGAGGCTCTGTCGCGGACACACTCACACACACTCTTTCTCTCTCTCACACACACGGATACCTCTCTCTCTCTCTCTCTCTCGCTCTCTCTCTCTCTGTGTGCTGTGGTCGGCCATGGATGTGCTGGGACCGGTGCTCTGCGGACTGTGGTTGGCCGGGAGCTGTGGTGAGCCCGGTGATTGGCATGCGTTGGAGGATTGTGGACGCTTGAACGCCGCTCAAAGATGGGAGAGTGTAGCATTGCCCCCCCAAGAACCTCACGCCTCCCCCTCCGCACCCCCTTGTCTCTGGCTTTCTCCTGCCCCCCTCTTTGCCTGCCTCCGTACCGTCTGAGCCTCTGTCACCGACTCCATTTTCCACACCTTCCCCTCTCTCCGCAGACTTCCGCAGTCCAAACTTCCTCTCGCTCCTCCCTCCTCCTTCGTTCTTAAACGCGCGACCTACAAAATGCGTGCACGAAATGCTCGCCCGGCATGTGAAATGAGCGCACGAGTGTGTGCGAGCACGGAGGGTCGAAGGAGGGAGGAGAGACCAAGGAGGGAAAAACAAAAACGCAACTTAATTTGTGCGGAAGAGGGGGGAAGGAGGGAGGAGGGCCGAAGGAGGGTGGAGGGACGGTAGGAAGGGGGGGGAAACGAACTGTGTTTCGTGCAGAGGGGGGACGAAGGAGGGAGGAGGGGCGAAGGAGGGAGGTGGCATGGAGGAGGGAAGAGGGACGTAGAGAGAGAGAGAGAGAGAGAGAGAGAGCTGTCTCTTATACACATCTAGATGTGTATAAGAGACAGGTGCTAACGAGGTGGGACAGAGTCTGTCGGTCCT